ACCATGTTGCGAAAACAAGGTCAAACAACCTCTATACAACGAAAGGAGACTGCGACCACACAAAAGTCCATACTAGCTTGGTCTTCATACCTACAAATACCATATTTTGAGTTAAATACGCCATACCGTCATTTTTAAGAGTATTCTCTAAAAGTATTAAGTAGCGCTTAGATTTGATTGGCATTTCCAGCTGGATACCAGTATGGCCACTGAGTAATCACAAAAAAGCCAATCTTAATTCAGATGAATTATGCGAATCTTTAGTAAAAGTCAAGTGAATTTGAAAAAGAAAGAGCAAGTGAACGGAAGATAAAAGATAAGGAAGTAATGGTGAGTTCAAAAACTCACCTGCTTTTCCAACCAGCAGGCCTGTCACAAGCGTGCGCTGGAGCAGCTGTTTCACTTCGTTTGGTGCAAGGTTGTAGAGTTGAGCGGCACCCAAACTATGTTTGGTTGAGAGAGGGCAAGGTTGTTCATTGACTGATTTAGTAGGCGAGTTGGTGGATCGGTCAGAAGACTGGGGCCGTGAAGATTTGGCTGAATGTGACTGAGTTCGTCTAGCAGAATCAATTTGATTCTGTTCTTCCATCTGAACTTGAAATACATTTGTCTCCGCCTCCAGTTTTAGTTTCATTGCCTCTAATAGCCAACTAAAATTTTTAACAACAATAAGAAGGCTAATGATGAAGAGCGCATGAAAGCCAACTTCCACGGGAAAGAACATGGCTACATTTCACCAACATATTTAAAAATGATTATTCGATAAGTCGGCTAGTTCATAATGAAATAAATGAAAAAAATTTTTTTGACCATACATAAAAAATAAGAAAATCATATCTGCTGGCAGTCTCGAAACCCACTTGGCGTAAATATTTGTCAACCAATCTTTTAATTTATTCCATACAATTAAAAAAAAAGAGTTCATAAAATAGCAAACGGCAAATAATATTAATGCATTCGTAAGAACCACTTATAACAGAAGACACATCACATACTCAAGATAAGTGATAAATTCATGCGAGAATCCAATCACTGCGACTACCAGGGTGCCTTATTACCATACTCTCATGGGATATGTTTACAACGAAGTGAT